GTCCCGCAGGGCTCTGCGGGTGCTGGTGGACATGGACGGGGTGCTGGCTGACTTCGAAGGAGGCTTCCTCAAGAAGTTCAGAGCCAGGTATCCCGACAAGCCCTACATTGCCCTGGAGGACCGGAGGGGCTTCTGGGTGTCGGAGCAATACGGGCGCCTGGGACCTGAGCTGAGTGTGAGTTTATGCATCCCCGGCTCTGCGCGTGGCTCTTGTTTGCTCTATGCTGTGTGGCTGGAGCTCCGGCCCTGTGGGACCCCCCTATTGACCCCCCCAGCTCTGGGGTGCAGCGCTGCGGGTGCTGGCTGGAGCTCCCATTGAAGCACAGATACAGGGCTGCACACAGGAGGGCTTCCAGCAGTGGTTTGCTCCTGGAAATCCAGTGTTTTCCATGCACATCTGTCTCTGTTTCGCTGCATGCATGGATAGAGATGGATGCAAGGAGAGGAGATCTGTTCTAATTGCATAGCTGGGGTTTTCTAGCTCTGATGTGGCCAAGCTGCATGGATTGATAATGTTCCTGGACGGATGATTTATGTCCTCAACAGCAATGCGAGGGGTGAGACGCAGCAGAGAAGTTGAGAGCAAACGATGCGATTGATGCTTCATGTGAGGGCTTACTTAATATTAAATCAATCCCAAGGCCTCCCATGCTTCAAACTTATTGTGCTGCTTTTAATAATTAAAGCCTAAAAGCAGAAGCTCTCTTTATGTTGTGCTTCATCATTCAACAAAGAGCTGAGTGCTGCAGAAAGCTGGTTTCTGCCTCTACCAGTTTCCCAGCTCAGTGGGATGTCTCGTCTCACCTGCAGATTGCAGTTGCGGTAGTTGAATGGTGTTACAGCAAATAAAAGTGCTCTTGTCATTAGTGGTGTGATGGCTACAAGGAAGGGAGGAGAGTGAATAAGGTCCAGGGCTCTGCCACTGGCAAAGTCCTAAAGAGCTTGATGAGCAGAAGGAATAACATGTCCTTTCTAGCTGGGATTGATGAGAGGGAAACAGGTCATCATTCATGCAGTAAGGCAGATGCTAGAAGTTTGACAGGAACATGATAACCCTTTTGTTTCTCCTTGATCTTAACTACTTTGGATGTGTTAAATGAAGTGAGCTCATTTTGTGTCTGCTGTGATCATGTAAAGCCATTAAAACCTCGCACTGAACAAGTAGCAAAACCTCCCCAGACTGACAGGGCAACTGTGATTTCATCCATGATTTCAGACCAGGGATAAAGAGAGTAGGAGCTGCTCTGTGGCTGCAGGGCCATGGACCATTCCACACATCAGACAGCACCATCAACCTGCTGTGGGAGAACAGAAGATAGAAGCCAAAGAGCCCAACAAGCTGGAGGTCCCAGCTCTGAAAGGGAGAACAACAGCTCAGCAATACACCGAGCACACAGAATTCAAAGGATGGAGAGCCCTGGATGGGTAGGAAAATGGCTCATGGGGAGACATAGGAAATTGAGGGTCTGTCCTGCCGGTTATGTGTTGGGATTCCCAGCCTGGGGATTTTTCCATCTGCTGCTTGCTGTGGTGCCACAGGGAATTATTCTGGCTCTGGGAGCCAAGCAGGCCTTTTCTTCAGGACACACTTAGCTCTTCCCCCATCAAACTTGATTGCAAAATGCCTTTTGACACAAGTGGAAGCTGAATCGCTACAGAAATCCTTGCTGTAAGAAACCACTCAGAGTTTGAAGTGCTTTGTGCATCGGGCCTCGTTTCTCAGACATCTCTTGTGTGGCTACAGTCAGTATCTTAAAAACAAACCAGCATTCTCACTGACCTGAAGCAGAGCATGGAGTGTTTCCCTGGCCCCGTGGCACTGTTAGGGTAGCTGTTCTTGTCATGGTGCCAGGAGGCATTTCTGCTGGCTCCCTTGCACCAAATCAGAGTGCATACATACATACATATGTATATATCTTCATACATATTTAACCTGTGTGAAGAAGGCTTTTCTTCCCTCCTGTGAACCACCGAGGTTTGCTGCTGCTCAGGCAAAAGGGAAGAGTGCAACAGTTGACCTGAGTAGTGTCTCCTTTTCAGTTTCTTCCCCAAGTAATGTATTAAGGGCAAAACATGGTGCTTACCCACTAGGTTCCCACTCAGCAGGCAGGAGGGAGATGCCAGTGTGTCCAACCAGCCTATTTGTTGCTATGAGCATTAAGAACCAGCATCGGAGCATCACTGAGGCTGCTCCTACTCCGATGCTCTGCTGGCTCCTCCATCCCCTTGCAATACAAGAAGGCTGCAATGGGCTTAAAGTTCCTTTTGTCCCTATTTTCCTGCTTCAAATACAGAACTTGAGCTGCTTAAAATGAAGATCAGTCCTTCAGGGCACGGCTCCCTTCAAACCACCTCTGAGCTGCATTTGCAGCTACTTGGCTGCATTGCAACATCAGGACAGGGCTGCTTCTGCTGCCTGCAGCCATGTTGCAGCACAACCAGGCTCTCTTCTCCGTGAGGACCCAGTGTCTGTGCTTGGCAGCTGAGTTCTAACCTGTTTGAGGGAGTGCAGGGCATGGATGCTGTTCCTTAGAGCTGGAACCCATCACATACAGCCCCTGGTCTCTGTCCTGGTCCCAGGATTTTGCTCCCTGTAGTCTCTCTTCTGTGTGCCATGTACAGCCTGGCTGCTGACCTGGATATTAAGCATCTCAAACCCTTGCCTGGAGGTGCTCCATTTGTCTGACAGACCTTGCCCAGGCATCCCTAAGGAAAAGCATCTGCATTCATCTTGACGTGTAGTTCATCCTATATGTTCTCTTATGAGAGCAGCCCAGCTGCTGTTTTAAGTGGTCTGATTGAGACAAATAGGTCAGACAGCATCTGTGGCTGACCAGCACCACATTACAGCAGGGCTACCATGACACATCAGTCAGATCCATATGGAAGTGGCCCTCTGGATGCAGATCCAGGGTTCGATTCGGATATGGACTATCTCTTGTGTTCTGATATGAAGGAATGTGCTGCTCCTCTGTGTCTGGGGCTGCACAGGCAAACCCAGAGCATCTGCAGTCTAAATGGGATGGGGTGGGTGCAGGCTGGCTGGTGGGGAACAGAGGCACCGAAGTGGCAAGGTGGGTTAGCAGGAGGGGAGTGGACCCAGTGCTCCCACCTTTCTCACTGTCACCATCCTCTGTCCTAGCTAAGGGTGAGGAAGATGCACAATGCAAGAAGAGCAG